TAATTTTTATAGTAGAAGAATAACAAGAATCAATGATTAATAAGTTCAAATATCCAGAAGCGTATTTACGTGTTCGATTAGTTTATTTAAAGATTTCTTTAATCGTCAAGCCGTGGATCGTTATATTACGTTAATCAGTTCCAAATGGAAGAGGCAATAAACTGCGAGCTCGATCAAATTAGAATTTATCGCGACGACCACTGTGACCTCCGGCACTCTAATTCGATTACGATTACTGGTGTCCGAACGATAAAAGTCGAAGCCCTTCGCCCCGTCAAACGCTATAAATATATTCGGGCACGTTTAATGGCACCGGCAACGCGTAGGGTCGAAAAACGCGGGTGTTGACTTTGTCATCGAGCTCATTAATTCTGTAACGTGTTCGTTCCGGGGGAGCTGCATCCCCTCCCCCCCTTCTTCCTCTCTGTTGTTCGTGATCGTACCCACGTCCAGAGTTTTCGAACGCGCCGACTTAAAACGCCGGGGTCGCGCCGCTAGGAAACGTAATCGAATTTTAATGCGTTTTATTATCAAACCTACCCTACATCATTCTAATTTCGTTTTAAAGTCGTCGCGTGAAACGTTGCTTTCAGACAGTCCCTCCTTTTTTTTTTTTATTACAGATGTACAGATGGATCGAACAGATCTTCGGACTTAGAGCATCAGAAGAATACTGATAAATGTTATAGTTAGATTATTATTATATTATATTTGGATATTTAGATTTATTACAAGTAAAAAATGAAGGGCATAACTGAACCAATGACGATGGCAAATTGTTGATAATTCAAGTGATTATAATTTCGTAACAAAAGATCATATAACAGTTCAGTTGACTGACATTATGTAACGAGCGGAAAAACGAGGGTGTTTTATTGAAATCATTAAAAAATTTATCCACCATCGTTTCATTTTTTGTTTTTCTTTCATCATGACTTTAAACATAAAAATTAAGTAACAAAATATTAGAATTTTTTTGAATTTTTGTCGTTTAACCCCAATATTCAACGTTCAATAAAATAGTAGAAGAAAATTGTACAAGTTTTAAAGGATCGTTGTAAAGAAGATTTTGTAATGTTTCTACGAGCGTTTGAATTTTGACAATTTTCGAGAACGAAGTATCTTTATTTTTTCAACACCGTTGCATCATGTAAAATCATTTTTGAGAAATGGAAATTTTACACTATAAAATGAAACCGAGTAGATTGTTCCTTAGTTCTATTACGAAGTTATAACAATTTAAATTATCAACCATTTTTTATCGTTATTGGTTCAATTACACTCTTCACTGTATATATGCCGCGTGTAGATATCGTTGAATTCATCTCTTTACTAAAAATATAATTATGATACTATAACCTATAATTCATTATCTCGAAATATTATAATCTGTTCGTATTTGTTTGTAAATTATACATGTACAACAATGCATTTTCTCCTATACACATACATATATGTATAGGAAAAACACACACACACACGTATATATATGTTATCTTTTATGAATCAAAAGGGTTCATCCGGCGAATAAATAAATAAATAAAGTAAAGCAACCTGAAGAAGCTTCTGGATTCGTGGGATTCTGGTGGAGCCACCGACGAGGACGATGTCGTGAATCTGTGATTTGTCCATCTTGGCGTCGCGCAAAGCTTCCTCGACCGGCTGTAACGTACTCTTGAAGAGATCTTGGTTGAGCTCCTCGAAACGGGCGCGCGTGATAGACGTGTAAAAGTCGATGCCATCGAGCAGGGAATCGATTTCGATGTTGGCCTGAGTCGACGAGGACAGGGTTCTCTTGGCACGCTCGCACGCTGTTCTCAATCGACGGATCGCTCGTTTGTTCGTCGTCAGGTCCTTCTTGAACTTCCTCGAGAACTCTTGCGCCAAGTGTATCACCATGCGACTGTCGAAGTCTTCGCCACCTAGATGGGTGTCGCCGGCTGTCGCTTTTACCTAAATCGTATTACACACGCGCGTGTTACATCGCGACACAGGCCCTTTATATACTCTGCTGGAAATTATTATCGTAATTTCAACGTGACTTATTGTTGGGAACTCGAAGCTGTCGTAACTTTGCAAATTGGCCTCGATATTTCTAGAAATTCTAATTATAACGCGATACCTCGATATTTAACCCAGATACAGTCACTGTCAACGTAGTTCTGACTTTATGATCGCTTTTTCGTAACATTTTTCGGGCTTGCGCGCCCAGAGCTAGAGCGAGTAAAAATCGCGTTAGCTCGAAGAAACTCGCGTTCCCACGAGAAAGTCGACAGTCTATATTTTAACTCTCGACGCGTTTGCGGTCGGTGCGGCGTTCAAGCGCAAAAAAGCGGAAATTCAAAAAATTCAACGCCAAACGTCACGCGTTGCGAATAAAAAAAATTCTTATTTCCTCACCGACAACTAATTAACAACGAGTTAATATCACCGGCGTGTTGACGCGTGTTCTTTAACTTCGCGAGAGATTTTACGCAATCGGAACATTATTAGAATCCGACTGACGGAGGACAGAATCGAAACATCGCACTGCGGTAAAATTGCAAAAACGCTGCGGACTTAGTTACCGGTACTTACACATTCTACGCAAGTGCCGCGGGAAAACCATAAGGTATTAAATACTACTATTAAATACTATTTAAAAACTTTCGACGGGGCTGTTTTCTCGTTTGCTACGTGGAGAAGCACGTAGTATAGCGGTATCCCGAGAGAGATATATTCGTCGAGAATCGAAGATGAAGAAAGGAAGCTGCTTGCGACTCGCGAGCCGCGCGTAGACAGTCAGACGGAGGCTCACCTCGAATATGCCGTCGTTGATAGTGAGTATCGATACGTCGAAAGTGCCGCCGCCGAGATCGAAGATCAGGACGTTCCTTTCACCGCGTCCCTTTTTGTCGAGGCCGTAAGCAATAGCTGCGGCAGTCGGCTCGTTAATGATCCTCAGGACATTCAAGCCGGAGATAGTACCGGCGTCCTTGGTCGCCTGCCGCTGGGAGTCGTTGAAGTACGCCGGTACCGTAATCACCGCGTTCGTGACGGACTTCCCCAAATAAGCTTCCGCCGTTTCCTTCATCTTCGTCAGAACCATCGACGAGATCTCCTCCGGGAAGAAGGACTTCGCCTCGTCCTGTAATCGATACCCGGCCGAAAACTTGAACTTTACTTCTCTCGTTCGAGAGATCGGTTCGACCGAACAAGCAAGCAAAAGAGAAACTTTGTTCCTATATATTGTGAAAAGAATTCCTCACATTATTTGACGCGTAGGGAGGGAAAATGAAAAACAGAGGAAAACACCGGTTGTGATTTTGCGAGCGTAGGGAAATACAGTCGGCTTACGAAGGGTTAAGGATCGGTCTGCGATTTGACAAGATACTCGGTCTACGAAAAGGGGATTATCGATCACGCGAGATGTAGGCCACTGGCCATAAGGCAGCAACGTTGATATCGTCGAGAGAGAGAGAGAGAGAGAGAGA